GTAAGCAAAATCAGGTCCTTACCTGAGAGTGCAGGGCCAGGGACAGGAAGGCTTAGGCTCTGTCTCCCCCAGGGGAGTACTTATACAAGAGAGCGTGGGGCTGGGTTGGGTCACATGCTCTGGGAGAGTCTAGAATAGAAGGCCCAGGAAATGAAGAGGGATGGGGTGATCTCTCCCTGGGCAAAGAGCACTAGGAAGTAGGATGGGGGTGCAGTTGGGTGTGGCGGGGTGGGGTGGAGTAGATAAGGAGAGTGGCCGGGGGTTCGAGGGAATCATTCTCAGAGTCATCTCCAGATCGCGTGGACAGAGCCATTAACTCCTCCCAGCAGGTAGAGAAAAAAAAGTGACCCTAAGTCCAGTCCAGCAAGCTTGTCTGGAAAGAGAAATCACACACAGTAAAGGGGACAGTGGGAATAAAGTCAGGACAGGACGGAAGGGATGCAAAAGTTCAGAACCCAGGCTGCCAGCTTGCCCTGCCTGTACCAAGCCCTTTGTAGGCTGCCCGTGTGGTCGCTCCAGCACCTGTATTTTCCACGATGATTTGCTTTGTGTGCTCCCTCAGGCAGATGAAGAGCCCCTACCTTCTGGGATCCTTTCTTCTAATTTTTCTTATATCACTGGCCTCTGCATTTCTCAGGTTCAGGGACACAGTGGCTTCCTCTGACATTTGGCTATTTACAACCCTCCTGGCATTAGTAAGAGTCTAGTAAATTTGGTAAACAAAAAAAATTATTATTTTTTTAAAAGTTTATGTGATTGGGCAGTGGTGGTGTATGCATTTAATCCTAGCACTCGTGAGGCAGGCGGATCTCTGTGAGTTCGAGGCCAGCCTGGTCTACAGAGCAAGTTCCAGGACAGCCAGAGCTACACAGAGAACCCCTCTCTTGAAAAACGAAACAGAACAACACAGTTTACGTGTCTAGTATCTGGCCTGCAGGTATGACTGTGCGCTCTGTCCATGCAGTGCTCATGAAGGTTAGCCAGAATCCTCTCAGTCTGAAGAGTCAGAGCCCCTGGAACTGCAGTTACACATACTTGTGAGCTGTCATACAGAAGCTGGGAATTGAACCCATGTCCTCTGGAAGAGCAGCTAGTGCTCTTTACTGTGGAAGCATCTCTGTAGGCCCTTGGTGAGCAAATTTTGATAAGTTTACTGAAGTTGTTGTTGGGTAATAACTGGCTTCCTTTTTTTGAGGTTTATATTGTATAAATTTTTCCCTTTCTTGTTTCTGTATTTTTAAAAATTATTTTCCGGCCGGGCGGTGGTGGCACATGCCTTTAATCCCAGCACTCAGGAGGCAGAGGCAGGCAGATCTCTGTGAGTTCGAGGCCAGCCTGGTCTACATGAGCGAGTTCCAGGACACGCTCCAAAGCTACAGAGAAACCCTGTCTCGAAAACCAAATATATATATATTGGAGTATGGCTGTGCTCTATCTTGAAATTACAATGCTGCTCAAAACAAGATTCTCATTAGCCAGGCTACAGAGTGAGAACCTATCAAAATAAAAACAAAAACAAGGCTGTCAATGGTTCGGTTTGGGGAAGAGCTAAAGACTGAGACAATCTATCACTTTTCCCATCATGAGTTAATAAGCTAATTATGATGCATACATCAAATAACATGAAAGAATAAGCAGTTGATACAAACCATACTAGGGCAGAATCTCAGAATAGGTGTGTGGAGTGATAGAAGCCACACACAGAGAATCCATACTATTTGTTTTTGTCTAGAATAAACAACTAGAAAACTGATGAGTACAGCCGACCAGTGGGCAGTGGAGAGGGGAGAGTGGAGGAGACATCAGGGAAGGGCAGGAAGAAGAGAAAAGCTGCTGCTATGACTTCATGAAGTAAACACAGATCAAATCAGCTTGCACAATTCAAATACGCATAGTTTATGGCATGTCAATTTGACTTCAATTAGAATTGTAAAATAAAGAGTCCCATAGCCATTTTCAGAAAACAAGATGAAAGTATTGAGGAACAGGGTGCGTCTTCCTTATCTCAATGGTTGGGAGGGAGGCTCCAGCTGACCAGGATCAGGGAGCTCATATCAGCTCTAGGTGGTGGTGTTATTTTACACACACACACACACACACACACACACACACACACACACTATATATATATATATATATTATATATAAATATTTGCTTGCATGCATATATATAATACAAATACCACCTAGAGTTTATATATGTGTAATATTTGCCTGTATATAAACTCTAGGTGGTATTGTTATATATGTATGTATATAAACTCTAGGAGTATTGATATATATATTATGGGTGTTTTGCCTGCATGTGTGTCTGTACACCACTTGAATGCCTGGTGCTCTGGAGGCCAGAAGAAGTAGTTGAATCCCCTGCAGCTGGAGTTACACATGGTTATCAGCTGTCATGTGGGTGCTGAGAACTGAACCCTGGCCCTTTGGAAGAGCAGCCAGTACCTTCAATTGCTCCCCTTTAGAAGGCATTACCCTCACTGTTTGGCAGTATTTATTTTGCTTTATGTGTATGAATGTTTTGCTTGCACACATATCAGGATCTGACACACATGACTGTTGGATCCCTGGCGTCGGCCGGATTACTAACGGTTGAGTCACTACATGGGGGCTGGGTGTGAAACCTGGGTCTTTGTCAAGAACAAGTGCTCCTAATCGCTAAGCCACCTCTCCAGGCTCCTCATCCTCAGTTCTTCCGAAGGTGGAACTTCAGTTTACCTCAAACTCACAGCCTGCCTCTCCCTTCCGAGTGCTGGGATTAAAGGTGTGCACCACCACCTCCTGACTGGAACTTCAGCTTTTGTGACGGGGTCTCAAGTATCCCAGCCTGGCGTCAAACTTATAACAGAGCAGAGGATAGGATAGACTTGATCCTTCTGCCTCCACCTCCTAAGTCCTGGGATTGCAGGTGTATAGTGTACATCACCACACCCAACCTGTCTTTGGGGTGTGTGTGTGTGTTTGCGCTGAGACTTAGTCTCTAGTGCTGAGACTGACCTTGAGTTTCTGACCCTCTGCCAGCTCTGGAGTGTTGGAATTACAGGCTTGCACCACCATACCCGGCTTTATCTTGCCTTCTTTGACAGATTCCAAAAGGACCGTGGTTCAGTGGTTCACCAGTGAGTGTGCAGTCATCCTAATCAGGGACTGCCTGAGTCTAGAGCCTGGGCTTTTCTTAGGTTAAGCCATCTTCCTTTTCAGGAAGGCGCTTCTAAAAAAAAAAAAAAAAAAAAAAAAAAAAAAAAAAAAAAAAAAAAAAAACCAAACAACTCCAGCCTGCTTTGGAAACGTCTGTGCAGAGGACTTTGGTTTATGAGTAGGCGGGGAGCTGCGGCTCTGTTCTGTGTACAATCGTTGCCATTCTGAGGAGAGTGAGTGAGCCAGGGCAGAGGCAGCAGACAGGCAGAGCCCCAGAAGAGGTTTGCAAAGGTGTGGTGCCTGCAGGACTCCCACGTTCTAGTCCACACTGAGCAGATGGTACTTCCTATGCCCACCCCCTGTGTTTACCAGCCCCCCCTCTTTCAGGAATCTTCCTGTTCTCTTTAAGGGACACTGTTACTACGTCTCCTTCGCTGCCAGCCTTGGGCAGGAGGCTGAAAAGAGAGCTCTGTGTCCTCATAAACCTCCCCAGGAAGGAGGTGGGAGCCGCTCCCTGGACTCCAGGTTTGGGGCCTCCGCTCCTGGCTTTCTCTGGAGTCAAGCTCTAAGACCCCGGCCTAGGGTAGGGCAGGACAAAGTAGAGATGTTGAGGGCTTTCAAAGAGGAGCTAGACTTTGTCTTGATGGGACGGATGGAGAAGGTAAGGCATTGTGGGTAGCCTGGGGGCCGGAGACCTTCAGGAGACCAGGAGGCTGCCAGAGTAGTGGTGGGCACGTTGGCGTATCCACCACAGAGTGAGCTTTGCTTCCTGCTCTCCACAGTCCTAAGGTTTGGAGACCAGTGGAGCCCGAGTCACATGTGTGTCCCCTCTACCCTTCAGCCCTGTGCCTTACAGGGAGTAAATGGTTCCAAGGTGCTTGGCTTAAGGCTTGGTTGACAGAGGGCAACTTCCTGCCAGAAATCCCTGGAGAGATTACCTGGTGGAGGGTGAGGAGGTGTCTGTGGTGAGAAGCTCGAAGCAGGATCAGGATCAGGAAAGAGAGATGCTAGGGGGTCTCCTGGGGCAATGGAGGGGCAGCACATGGGGTCTTTGAGCTGACAGGGACATACGTCTCCCAAAGCAGGACACTAGCCCTCTCTGTGACCTTTCAGTATTTGTTAGGAGAGGTAGCCAGGCCTCTCTGCTCCCTGGCCTGCCCATCAGGCTGATGCCTTGGTTTGGTGGCCATGTTGACAAAGGTGGCCCACCCTGAATAAGGGCTGGAGAAAGTGCTGACGGGCAATTAGCTTCGATGATTCAGAAAGTGCCAGAGACGTTCATTCAGGTCACTGACCCTGATCTCCGCAGAGATGCCATTAGCACCAGCTCAGCCTCGTTCACAGAGTTCAAAACTTGAGGAGATCGAATGACGTCCCAGGTGTGGGACTCAGCAGGCATGAGCCGTGGAGCAACGTGTTTCTGCAGTGAGCGCGAGCATCCCTGGCCTGTTGGACTCTCTAACCTCAGCACGCCTCCCCTCGCTTCACACTAGGCATCTCCTGCTGGACACACCATCACCTCCGGCTCTTGCATCCTTCAGAACGTTGTATGGTTGCTCCTGAGGGACACCCGGCTGTCCCCATCTCCTTTGTTGGGACATTCAGGAGAATGAATGTATATTCTTAGCAGAGAACTCTTTAAAAGATATGGGCAAACAGAGACAGTTAGTGACCCTGTCTCTCCCTCCACCCTGCAGGTTGTCAACTTTGCCTGGTGACCACAGGATCCTAAGTCTGACCTTTTGGCGCGTGGTTTTTGGTTTTTTGTTGTTGTTGTTGTTGTTGTTGTTGTTGTTGTTGTTGTTTCTCACCTGGTTGTTCTCTCCTTCCTGGAAGTCTCAAGTCCAGTGAAGGTTTCTCACCAGATCAGACCCACAGTACCTGGGTCAGCTCCTACCCCTACTTCAGCCTGCTCATGGGTATCTGTCCTTGTCACTCTTCAAAACTGTGCCAGAGCCCTCTATTCACACCAGGTGTGACCTTGCCTGCACCCCAGCCTCAAGGTTGGTAGAACCTATGTAACCCAAGATGGTTTTCCAGCTTCTGGGCCTGGGCCTCTACCCCTTGCTCCAGTCCCACATGATGGATGCACTAGGGACACACAGGTCAGGGACACACAGGTCAGGGACACACAGGCTAGGGACACACAGGCTAGGGACGCACAGGCTAGGGACACACAGGTCAGGGACACACAGGCTAGGGACGCACAGGTTAGGGACACACAGACTAGGGACACACAGGCCAGGGACACACAGGTCAGGGACACACAGACTAGGGACATGCAGGTTAGGGACAAGCAGGTTAGGGACACACAAGCCAGGGACATGCAGGTCAGGGACACACAGACTAGAGACACACAGGTCAGGGACGCGCAGGCCAGGGACACACAGACTAGGGACATGCAGGTTAGGGACACACAAGCCAGGGACATGCAGGCTAGGGACATACAGGCTAGCTCTTGCTGGTTCCACGAAGAGTCCTGGCTTGAGGCTTCACGACTGTCCTGATTCTGTGTTTGCCGTGGCTATTGGTTCCTCAAAGCCTTTCTGGTCCTCTCCTTCTCCCTGCCAGGCCCAGGCACCCCTACTCTGGTGTCTGGACACTGCCTTGGGATGCCCATCCCAGTTCCCTCAACTGACACACCTGAGAAATTCTGGCTTCAGCTTCCTCACCTGCCCTGCTGTGGAAGCTTCAGTGAGTTCCCTGACTAGTCACCTCTCAGACTGCCCTCTAGTGACCTCCCAGTCTAGCTGCTACCTTCCTAATTTGACATTCTCTTGTTAGTAAAAGTCACCATCTACACACCTTTAATCCCAGCATAGGGGAGGCAGAGGCAGGCAGATCTTCGAGTTTTAGGCCAGCTTGGTCTACAGAGAAAGTTCCAGAAGGGCTACACACACACACACACACACACACACACACACACACAAAAGTAAAGGTCACCTTTGTTTCTCTGCTTCTTCCCACATGGTTCTTGTTTACGTGGGCTAGATGAAGCCCTTAGCAGATGTCCTTCCATGGCATGTGATGGGCAGGCCCTGATAGAGGCAACATAGCCTCTACCAAGAGCGGCACTAGGTAGGGAATGAATGCAGGGTTCTGGGAAAACAGTGCGAGTCTCTGTCTCCACCATGAAGTATAGAGCCCCGACCCAAGGAGACCCTAGGAGATCAGTCCCACACTGGAGTTCACCTCCCGCAGCTCGGCTTGGGGCTGAGCAGCACAGAGACTGGGTGTGTCCTCAGAACAGGTGATGCAGCCTGAGGGTTGGGGAGCGGAGGGAGCTCCAGGCAGGTCACCTACTCCCTCCAGAAGCCACTCTCCTGTGGCATGTGTACTTTTGGTGAGGTGGGGCCCAGATTTTGGAGCCTATTCAGGACTGGTCCCTCCTGCCCTACTCCTTGTACTCTGAGGTCTCCATTCCAAGCCTAGGAGTCAGAACAAGCTTTCATGAGACAGGAATGTCCGCAGTAGGAGCGGGTGGAGGTGAAGGGTCATGCAGAAAAGGAATGTGCTGAGGGTTGCCATCTCCTTCCACCTGGAGGGTGGCCCATCTAGTAGCCGGGCCTAATACAACCCGCCCTTGCCTGTCCTCTTCTTCACCATTTCCTCACCAGTGGCCTCTAAGGACTCAGCCCCCACAAAGCAGAGCCATTCCTGAGGACGGGCATGGGAGCTTGGGACAGCCTGCTAGGATCTGCAGGCAGATAAAGGACGTGGTCTGCTTCCAGAGGGTCCAGTGCTGGTGTGGAGAGAAGGTACAGTCTGGGGCCTGGAAGGGGAGCAGACACAGAGGATTTCCCAGCAGGGGTGGTGCAGAAGCTGGGTTTTGATCTGTTGGGCAGGAGACAGAAAAGGAGATCCCGAAAGGATGCATAAGAGGCACCTCAGGATGGCCCTAGTACTTTACAAATATTTTAAATAGTTGCAATGTGCTCCTGCCCCTGACAGGGCGAGACAGCCTTGGACACTCCTTAAAGGACACTGAGCGGATGACTAGCAGAAGGTATCTGGCCCAAGAAGAAAACTGTTTGAACCTTACTCTGGGCCACACGGTTTTCCTAATATGGATGTTGCTAGGTATTTAAATGTTATCATATGACTCACTGAGGGGATAGCCATCTCATTTTATAGAAGTAGAAAGATAAGGGACATTGCCTGTACGAAGGGAGGAGACCGGAATCCGCCACCCCATCTGCCTCTTCCTAGACCAAGGCCGAGGAATAGGGCAAAGGCCCAAGTACTACATCTGATCAACCAACCATCCATGGGGCAGCGCCTTGGGAGTGGAGAGAGGGCCTGAGCATCCCTGCCTCCGCGGTGGACTTCTTAGGCTTTTCCTCCCAGGCAGATCATCCTGTCCCCCCCCCCCCCCCCCGAGAAGCTTGGACTTACAACCATCTTCATCTTGAAGTTAACTTCAGCTGTGTTTTTCCAGATGCCACCAATAAGGTTCACCTGATGTAGCACCTGAAGGTGTGGCTGCCGCTTGAGTTGGCAGGTGGCCTGGGAAGGTGGGGAGCCACCACAGAACAATGATCCAAGCCTAAGCGAGGTCACCCCACCCAAGCCTAGTAGGAGAAAGGGAGAGTAGAGAGGGAAGTCTCCATCAATCTAGCTTTGGTGGGGCGGCTGTGGAAAGCGGCAAGGAGGCCCGCCTAGGACAGCCAGCCACCGCCCTGGCTGCTTGTTTTGTCTGCGGCGGAACAGGTGCGACATCCCAAGGGGCAACACCTCTCTGGGCCTGTTTCCTCCTCAGTAAAATAAAGCTTCTATCACGGGGTAGTCATCTAGTCGGATGAAGCTGGACTTGAGAGATGATAGCGAGAAAGGGGGCCCCTCCCCCAACCATAGCCAAGCTTTTGGAATGCTTCTGCCCCCTAGTGGTGACTCAGAGTAAAAGTCCTGTGTTTGGGGATACCAGCCTGGAAATCCTCCTACCTCCAAGGCCAGCTTCCTGTGCCCTCCACCCCGGGATCCTTTACCACTCAACTGCCCTCTTCAGTTCTAAATGGCCAGAAAGGTAGTCACAGCCTGTGCACAGGGCACCCACAGTGACATAAAGTGTATGGCAGGCTCTTTCCATCCTCCTCCTGCAGCAATGAGGTTCTGCTGCCTGGGGGCCCTGCGCCTGAGACTCTCAGGGCATCCGGCATACCACCCTCGGCTCTCAGCCTCTGTCCAGTGTGAGAGCAGACAGGTGGGCTGTGGAGAAACTGGCGAAAGAAGGTGGGGGCTGCTCAAGAGCGTGACAGACTGTGTGTGAAACTCGGGAACACTCGGTCACCAACTGTGGGTTCGGACTTGACTGCAGGTTTGTTCAGGGTACAAGGTCCTTCCACCTGATGGTTGGGAAAATTTGGCTTCTACATTCAGGATATCTTCCTGCAGTCCTTCGAGAGGGCTGGGTCACCCTCTCTTCAGGGTGGCCAAGTTTCTACCTATGCCTCCTGACCCTGGTCAGGAGTGGGAGCTGAGATGGACAAAGACCTTGTCTTATCTCTGTAGTCTATCTACATCCCTCCTCCCTACACCTGGTCAGGGGACTAAAATTCCAAAGAGGGTGGACAGCATTAGGTCCCTTTCCTTCTAGTCCTGGGCTCTGGGGACTTCCTTGCTGAAGGAAGCATGGCAGGGGCAGGTATCATGGGAAGCTCGCGACTTCCGGAGACCGGTGGGGTAGGTCTGAACTCAGCTGAATTTGTGGGGCAGAGAAGGTGGAAGAAATGTGTGTCTGCGAGCACATGCATGTGAGTGTGTGTGTGCGTGTGCGTGTGCGTGTGTGTGTGTAGACAGAAGGGGGAGGGAGACAGAGAGAGATCTAGGAGCTCGGGTGCGTCACTGTTGCCGGGAAAGTACACAGTCTGACTCAGTGGGAACATCCGGCAGGAAGGGAGGAGGGTACACAGTAGCATTTGCAAGCAGGATGGGAACTCGGGAGCTGCGGAGATGGGGTGTGGGGCCAGGGGTGAAAGCCTGGCCAGCAAAGGGGCTGAGGATGGTGGCAAGAGAACACAGAGGAGGGAGACAATGGTGAGGGAAAAGAGCTGAGCTGGTCAGTCAGGGACCTCATTCAAGGCCTATGACCTTATAAGTACTGAAGCTGACCTAGGCACCCCGGGGCTGAGAGACTGCGAAGAGTGCCGAGGAAGGAGCTCGTGTCTTTTCTGGGGATCAGAGGGTCTGGCAAGGTCCTCCCTGGAGTACAAGGCAGAGAAGGGTCCTGACTGCTCTGAGTGGAAATGTTAAGGACCCCAGAGAAAGGCCCGTCTAGGCCTAATAAAGGGGCTGGTGACCCAGAGAGTTAGGCCTCCAGGAGTGGTCGTGCTCGGAGTGCAGAGAAACCATGTTCATCCTCAGGGACCAGATGACGGGAGAGAGGCTTTTGAGGTCTGTGGTAGTGTGGGATGGCCTGGGGAAGAGGATTCCTCACTCTTGGCTAATGACTTAAACCTATGCTGATTGGACAGCCAGTAGGAGAGCGGAGGAATGCCTGAGGTGGGGCCCTCAGGGCATGGAGCCTGCATCCCTTGCCTTTTTCTCCTACCAGGAGGGTGAAGGCCTCTGTCTGTGGTCCACCCACTCTATTTGCAGGCAAATACAGGTAGGGGTCTTACAGGGGCTCAGGATCACAGGTGAAGGTGCACCCTGGGTGCCTAGGCCTCCTGTGTGGGGACACTGAGGCAGGGCAGGGAGAGGTGTTAGACAAGACTAGCCGGCTGCTGGTGCCCTGGTCCTCGCCCTCTGAGAGTGGAAGGGTGGGGGTGGCGGCTGGCCAGGCATTCCTGGCCGGGAGCCCAGAGCACTCTCTGGTAATCACAACATGATCTCTTGTGCTGAGCAGAGAAGCTGAAGCCGGCAGGGAGAGGCCGACAGGCCGGGCTCTGGTGGCTCCAGCTTCCCTCCAGCTCTGGCTCCCGGGGCTGCTTTGGAATCCTCTCAGTGACTGCTATTTCCATGAACTTGGCTGTGAGTGGCACCTTGTCTTGGGTGGAGGGCTTCTCGGGGATGGGAGAGGGCTGAAGTACTAAGCAGTCACAGTCTGGAGACAGCTAGTGACAGCTGTCTGGGCCTGGGAGGAAGAAGGCCGTGATGAGGCAGGTGGTGGGTTGGGGACGTCACCGGGAGGAACACAGACCCCACAGCCAGACGGAACAGGACCTCAGATCTGGATGCAGAGATGTGGTTTGCCCAGAGCAGCTCCCAGCTGGAGCTGCCATGGACCCGCTGCTCTCCTGCCCACCAGTCAGCAGCTCCGACCTGGAGGTCTGGCTGGGCCCGTGTGAGCAGCTCTCTCCTGCAGACTGCGCACAGACTGTAGGGTCCAGTGCCCGGGAGGCCAGAGCCAAGCTGAGGCCTGTGTTTGTGTGTGTGTGTTGTGGTTCTAGATTTGGGAGGCAAAGAGTTCCCCCCACCCCCTCGACCTCCTGAATCCCCTGGCAGCTTCCCAGTCACGGCGGGTTCTGCTGCCAGAGCCATTTTTAACTCCCATTCCAGGCTGTGCTCACAGCAGAACTCCCTGGGGAACCAGGGGGAGGGGCAGCCTGCTGCTGGGAGCAAAGGCCCTGGGTATGGAGCCCTGACCTGAGCCCCCTGAGGAGGCAGACTGGCAGACAGGTCTCACTGGGATGGGACTTGGGGCCAGACATCTTCCTAAAGAAACCCCTTTACCTTCTGTGTGCCTTAACCTGGCAACATGGCCTGTTCTTTGAGTGCGAAATGTAGAAGTGAGGTCATTGGTGAGCTTGGGTTCCTTGTCTTCTGCAGGGACCTCACAGGGCTGAGTCCACAATGCGCAGGCACGAGGACAAAGATGCCGAGCTGGACCGTAGGATAGTTGCCCTGCGCAAGAAGAACCAGGCCTTACTGCGTAGGTACCAGGTGAGTGGGTTGTAGCAGCTGAGAGGACTCCCGTCCCTGAGTGCCCTCAAAGCCTGTTCATGCAGCAGGTACTTTCTGAGACATCTAGACCACGTCTCCAGGCCCTGACCCAGGGTCTGGGTGGATCGTGCCTCTCAGAGGCGTGGTCAGAGCCTCGGGCACTGGTGAGGCTGGTGCCTCTGCCCCCTGGTGCCCCACTGGTGTTTCTCTGTGTAGGCCTGTCGGCGTCTGTGTGTCTGTGAGCCTGGGGGGCCGTGGCCTTGCTGATCCCAGGCCCTCCCACAGGAGATCGAGGAAGATCGTCGCCAGGCAGAGCAGGGGGGCATGGCTGTGACCACACCAGGGCTCTTCCAACCCGACAGCCTCACAGTGACCATCAGCCAGGTTCCTGGTGTAAGTCTCACCCTGGAGAGCGGCAGAGTTAAGGCATGATTCCGTTCCTGGGCTGTTACCGCTACCCCACTTTCTCCCGTTTGCCTTTCTGGGTGCCCCCCCAGCAACAGGTTTCCTTAACAACCAAGTCTTGCTATACTCCCCCAAAGGACTGCAGATGAGAGACCACCAAACAGAGGCTTTCTACAGCCTTTTTCAGTCCCGTAACTTTGTACACAAGCCACAAAGCACAGTCTTCACCCTACCCCAGCCCCTGGGGCTAAAACCTCGCTGGAAGCAGAGGACGGAGAAATCTAGGCTAAAAGCAAAAGAATCCATGCCTTAGAGATGAGGCTGTATTGTCTGTGCGCTCTGGGTTTCTCGACTGGGAGATGACAAGCCCTTGTGGCATCTTGGGTCCCTAGGTTGGCCCTTAGCTCTGAATAACTAATGCCATTGGCATGTGGGCTGCTGAAAGGTCAAGTTTCTCCATGGGCATTCCAGAGAGGGCCAGGGCTAGGACCCAAACCTCGGAACCCCTTGCCCAGCACCCAGCCCTGCCTAGGACTGCCCACGTGACCTGAGGACACAGATGTCTCACTCTGCAGGAGAAGAGGGTGGTCAGCAGGAACTGGGCCAGGGTGCCCCCCGGAAGGATTGACGCACTGACAGACGACAATGCTGCCACCTCGACGGGCACTTTCTGCCTGGGGGACCGGGTGGAACTAGCTGTCACCATGGAAAACAAAGCCAGGGTGAGCATTGGCGCTTCTAGACCCCGGGTGGGCAGTCTCCTTCCCCTTGGCTCAGATGTCACATCCATCTACACCCTCGACAGGCCAAACGGATTGTGAGTGAAAAACCCACCACCCAAGCAAGGACTCCAAGGGCGAAGGGGACATCTGGAGGCCGGGGGGGCCAGAGCTCTCCCCTGCAGATGGGTTTCAGCCCAGATTCAGCAGGGAAGGTACATTTTCAAGAAAGGGTAGGGCCACAAATTGGCAATCCCCATTGGGAGGAGGCGGAGAAACAAAGTCAGATATGTCCCTTGCCTGGGGGGTCCTGGCCTAGGCACCACCTTCGAGAATTCTCACCCTCTTCCCCTTCTCTGACTTATATTCACTTTGGGTGCATCTTGCCTTGAGAAATGGTTTAAGCCAGAGCTGTGATTCGGCCATGAAAAGACCTATAACTCAACGCTATCCTAAGTGTCAGTGGGATGTGTAGGCGACTGGCTATGTGCCAGCTGTGACCTCTAGGTGGCAGCAGCCCCTTGTAATTGCTCTTGCTCTTGCTCACAGCCTCTGGGTGCCCCTCCTATCTAGGGGCCAGTCAACCCACACCAACAACTCAGAAAGGAGACACCGCCTTTTACAGATAAGGAAGTGATGAATACAGAGGTTAAAGTTACTGATCCCAAACTGACAGCTAACGCGTGTTCAGATGCAAACAGCCCATAGCAAGTACAGCGTGCTAGAGATGAGGCAAAGAGGCAAACCTAATCACACACTGGGACGTGGAGACCCTGAGAGAGGAAGGGCTTAGCGGACTCTCTGGAGCTCCATTTGAATCCTCTCCTTTCTTCTCCCCCACAAGTCTAAGTGTCTTTCCTTTGCAGGGCGGTCTGGAGCCCCGGAGTCCAGGCGTGGCCCCAGGCCCACCACCCCCACAGCCCGTGGGACGGCCCCCAGAGGCCGACTGGGACAATAGGCAGTGGAAGCAAGAGCGACAGCAGATTGACCTGGCCCGTCTTGCCCGGCACAAAAATGCACAGGGTGACTGGAGCCACCCGTGGGACCTGGACAAAGCCAAGTCCATGTGGGTGGTATGGCTGAGTAGCTTGCTGAGACATTTGTGATTGTGGGACCCCGGTAGGGCTAATTGTGGGTGCCTCTTGGAGGGAGAGGACCTGCCTTGGACTCCTGGTCAGAAGCTGGGCTCAGGGTTCTGTGTGGCCCCTTTCTTGGGTCCACCACCACCCTTGTGCCCTGAGGTTAGGGGAGGCAGTGTCAGGGTGGAGCGGTGGGCAGACATGATGCCCTCCTCTGTCTAACGCAGGTCACAGAACTGCAGCAAGCCTAGAGACAAGGACTGGACCCCAGGCAGAAAGGGTGAGCCAATACCCACCTCGCATCCTGTTTGTTTGTTTGTTTGTCTTTTGGGACATTCTCAGCCCAGGCTGGCCCAGAACTCATGGCCCTCCTGTCTCATCTAGGATCCCACTCCCCTCTCTTTTCTGTCTCATCAAAGATGAAAGGAAACACGGAAAAATACCTTCCTTTCCTTACTTCCTCTCCCGCATTGTTCCGTCTCTCTTGTGTCCTCTGAGCCACAACTCAGTTTGGATTCTGTGGGAGCTGACCTGGGTCTTTCCAGACGCCGGTCCTTGTGGGGTAAAAGTGTGAGTGGAGCTGGGCAGTGGTGGCGCACACCTTTAAGCCCAGCACTTGGGAGGCAGAAGCAGGCAGACAGAGCTCAGTGAGTTCGAGGCCAACCTGGTCTACCAAGCAAGTTCCAGGACAACCAGACTGTTACACAGGGAAACCCTGTCTCAAACAAACAAACAAACAAAAAAAAACCCCAAAACAACGATAAGTCCAAGTGGTCCTCCCTGGCCTGTTGTGGAAACTGTCCTGTGGATTTCTGGTGTGTTCCTCCCTCGTACGTAGAACCTGGGGGCTAACAAGTTGGCCAAGTCTCATAGCTGGAGAGTGGAAAAACAGCCCAGGACTGCAGGCCAGGCCAGGCCTTTCTGGGGAGGTGACTCGGGCTTTGGAGGAAGTAGAACTCCTAACAGAATTACTACTGGTAGCGTCTTGGCACTAGAGAACTGTTGTCTCTGTTTGACCCTTTGACACCCCATCCTCATTTCCCTTGTCTCTCTTTAGGTCCTAGGACCCACCAGAAGCTACAAGCTCCACCACCATCCATGGATGGAAAGCGTGAGTTGGGAGAGGAAAAGGAGCAGGATTGTTTTAGCTGATGAAGGCAGTGGCTACAGCCCTCTGTCCTTATGTCTTGCAGGTCGAGGTGAACAATCTGGAAGACCCTCGGTGACATCCACCATAGGCAGCAAAGCCCAGGGGAAGGAGAGGCTGACTGGCAGAGCCCGAAGGTAACAAGCGGCAGGGGACAAAATCAAGGCAGGCATTTAGGTGTCCTCATTTCCTGGACTGGCCCAGGTCCCTCCGCTTCATCCCCAGGGCTCCTGCTTCCTGGCTTCTTGCTGCCTGTTACAGGTTAATGAGATACCGAGAAAGGCCACCAGCATAGGTGGTGTTGGTGAGAGCCTGGTGCCCAGAGACTGTGGTAATTACAACAGCTCGCTTCCTCTGGGATGTGAGGTGTGCCTTTTCCAGGCAGAGCACGCAGGGACATGCCTGGAGTCCCCATGGATCTCATGGTGCAACAGGCTTGATCATAAACAGCAGCTGGGGACCCAGGATGGATGCTCAGAGGAAATGGCTGGATTTGAGAACCAAGATCAGGCTGGGGAGGAAGCATCCTGGAGCCTCATCATGGTTCTGGCCCTACTCTGAAACCTCTGGGCTTTACCTTCTCTTTGGGGTTATGAAGGGGGTTACTTGAAGCAGTATAGAGCCTGGCACAGGACCTGCCTGGCACAGGACCTGCCTGGCACAGGATCCGCCTGGCACAGGATCTGCCTGGCACAGGACCTGCCACTTGCTGTGTTTCTACAGGTGTGGCCTGAAAGAAGACGAGAAGCTGAAGAGCCAGGAGGTGGGTGCTTAGGTATAGGATAGGGCAGTGTGGGGATGGAAACCCCAAATTTACTAGTCAGCTGGGCTCTCCTTTTGCTTCAGGGAAGTCAGAGCACCACGAAGACTCCCAGGACAGAGGAAGAGCGTGAACAGAAGCAGAATGAAATGGAACCAGGCAGACAGGAGACCACACCTGCCACCAGTCCAGTTCCGGCCTCCCCAGAGGGGCTAAAAGAGGAGTCAGGAACCTCTACAGTCAGTGTGACCCTAGACACCCCACAAAATTCTGATTTGGCTCCCCTTGACCTCTCTCTAGGAGGAGCTAGCAGCCCCAAGCCTGAAAAAAGTACATGTGGACTCAGTACAAAGTGTGGGGGTCCTGAAAGTCCAGTATCACGGCCAAATGGTTCTGCGCAGCGGACCCTGGCATGGAACGACCACCAGTCTGGGTTGGCAGGCTGCGTTTATACTGAGCCACTGAAAGAAGCAGAGGCCTCAGAGCCCAAAGAGGACCAGGCAGGTAAAGCTGGGGCCCAGCAGAACCTGGCACCGAGAAGCAGGCCCCCCAGAGGAACTGGCCAAAGGGCAAGAGGCACAAGTAGAAGAACCAGGGCAGGAGGTCCTGGCCCTGCAGGAAGCTGCTGAACAAAGCTCATGGGAGTTGGGGAGCCAGGCTGTGGAGGAGAGAGCTCAGTCAAGAACCTTCTGTGTGACAGGGGTCTGGCTGCTTGTGGCTTGTACCTTTGTGGTCGAGCAGTGTGGCAAAAATTCCACAGGAACACCACATGAGGGCCTCTTATGCACATCTCTCTACACAAGTGGAGTTATACATATAGGCAAGGACCCTGGTATATTTGCCAGGCTGAGATCTCTTGTCCAAGGATGGTATCCCTGGCCTGGGCCTACTGCTACCTAGGATAGGGCCCTTCCCACAAAGCAAGAATTGGTAGTGGTAGTGCCCCAGAATGTGGGTCTCCTGGCTCCTTGTCACTCCACATGGCAGGTCTCCCTGCCCAGTCAGAGCTTTCAGGCTCCTCAGCGATAGGTAGTCTCAATGCTGGTGTGGCCAGCCCAGCCCCTTTCTGATACCCATGCCTTGCACCCAGGTGACTCACAGTCCTGGTCTTCCAAGATGGTCAAACTGGGATTTCAACAATTGCCCAAGGCCCATAGAAAGTGGGTTGGGGCTTACGGCTGTCAGGATCAAGGCTGGAATGGAAGGCTTCTTGGAGGAAGGGAGGCATCAGAGGGCCTCTTCTTTGATCTGGGCTAGGCTTCTCTTGTCCTTGGCCACAGGTGAATGGAAGAGTTCACTGGCAAGTACTGAGTCTGCTTCTTCTATATCCAGATCAGACATCGTGGGTGCCCTGAATGAACCCTGTAGCCCAGGGCCATTTCCTGACCTTCCTTCCTTCCGCATTTCCCCTCACCAGGGCCGTGCAGAAGCAAGCACACAGGCGGAGACAGAGGAATAGCAACCTCAGCTCAGTACAACACCGGGATGTGTTGTTCTCGCTCCGTCTCCATCCAGGCCCCTCCCACGGGGCCCACGTCTGGTGAATTATCCAGACTCTGCACAAGCTGTGGCTTCCTTTCAATACAACAAACATTTCCTGAGCATCTTCTCCCAGTGATCCACTCAGTGGGCGAGGGTGACTCTGCCAGCAGGAGGGAGGGAAGAGACTCAGTCATCGACAGCTCCAGGCTGAATGGCAAGTGCTGTTCTCTGTAGATGCCTGGCAGCCTTGGTTATGATGAGGGTAGCAGCCTAAAGAGAGCCACCCCACCTTTGCTTCCCTCCTTTGATATGGCCTGTGCCCTTTGCTCCCAGGCCCTCATCTGGATAGCACCATGAAGCCCCCTCTCCTTTCTTCTCTACAAGGGTGTGTGTGTGTGTGTGGTGGTGGTGGTGGTGGTGGTGGGGTTCTCACAACAATCTTCTGAAACTCTAGGGAAAGCCCACACCATCTTCATCTTTACACGTGCGGCCTGAAACCTGGGTTCCAGTCTTGGCCTTCCTTCCTGGCTCTTGGGTCTATCTATTGCTTCCACTCGGGTGGGGTGAATCTTCAAGCAGGTCACATTGTTTAGAGAATTCTGCTCGCACTCTTGTGTGGCTGGAGGTGCAGGTTGAACCCAGTGGGGAAGGTCTGGGTGTTTGCTTTTCTAGTGAGACCCAGGTGAGGGAGGCATGGCTGCTCTCTTGTCGGCCTGAAGCACCCTTTGAGGAGTCACGTTCTGGAGTGGGATGTTGAAGGATTCAGGTTAGAGCGAAGTCTAGACTCTAAGGCCAGTTGCTGGCTATGCAGGAACTAGGGGAGCGCTGCCCCTGCCAAGCAGAAGAGGCTTCCTGGCTTCTGAGGCTCCTGCAGAAGAGCCTTTGGGCAGTGGGTAGTGGAGTCCACTCTACAGTGGATCAAAAGGAAACTGACCAGGGAGGGACGTGACAGGGTGAAGCGGGCGGGAGGGTCAGCGGAAGTTTGGAGAGGCATAAAAACATTCTGGCACATGTGAGACATGCCTGGGCCAGAATGAAGGATCCGAATTCAAGTTTTTATCCTGCCTTCCAGTCTCAAGTCTAGGTCTTTGGAGTGTGACATGGGCCCTGGAGCTCATGACTCCTAAGAGATAGGAGAGAGAGAGAGAGAGAGAGAGAGAGAGAGAGAGAAGAGAGAGAGAGAGAAGATTCACAATTTGTCCCCCATTGGATGCTGCCAATTGTACAATGTGCTTCATTAAACAACACAGAGCACGATGTGTTTGACCACCGGCTGAGGATGTAAAAATCTGGCAGGGTTCTGGCTCAGTCCTTACAAAGGGACCTAAGCAGGAGAAAGAGCTGGCAAGGAGGACTGACAGGGCATGGGGCTTTTCTTCATGGGCAGCAGCCATTTAGTAGATGACTGCAGGAAGCCGTCCTAGGGATTGGAGAGAAAGGAAGCCGACACAGGGCATCTTCATTACTGAAGTCGGCAGTGCCAGCAGTAACACCAAGCTCTCGCTGGGAAAGGGAAGCTCTTCTCCAAGATAAGATAAGATAAGGGTGTCACCTCCCAGCTCTCTGTCCGGGTGTGGCCATCCTGCTCTGTCACAGAGTCAACTCTGGAGCAGGAGAAGTCATTCCTCTTGATGCCGCAAAGAGCTCCTTGAGGTGACTCTTCCTGGTGGCTTTGTTGAAAGGTCTGACCCAGAGCTTTCCCTTAGGAAGCCCTCTTCTCTCCAATGACCAGACAAGACTACTTTTCAAAAGTAGGAGTCTTCATTAAACCCAGCTCTGGGGGATCAGATGCAGGGCTGAAAGGAACCAAGCAAGGAAGGTCCCCAGGGGCACCCAGGAGGGAGAGGACACAGATCACGTGCAGAAACCTTGAAACACAGAAGACAGGAGGGAAACGGAGATGATGCTCTAAGAAAGGTGTGTGTTTTGATCCCAGACACTGGAGTAGAGCAGAACACACTGTGGAGTCTGAGACTCTAAATATGAACCCTGGACCTCCCATCCACTTTGGTCAACTTGAACCTCTAGAAGCTTCCGTTTCCTCGTTTGCACAAGGAGGCTTGCAGCAGGACCCCGAAGCGGGTGGCTGAGAAAGCTGGCGTGTGCAAACTACCCCTGCCCTCAGTAGACTGCGGGGAGAGGAGCCTGGCACACAGAGCGTGTTAATAAATGAGGTGGACGTTTGATACGATGTCGATGTCTGCTTGTGTTCTGTGGGTTTTTTACTTCCCTTTACTGGGGACCAGTGCTCTCTCAGGAAGAGGATGGCAGTCTTCCTTTCATTATTTTTCTCCAGAAGGCCACCCGATAGGGAGCTTCCTCTGAGTCTCCCAGAAGCAAGTTCTGCCACCCAAAGGAGCAAATGACTGATTTCCTTATGGTCAACCTCAGCTATTTAAAACAGCGTACAAGTTGGGACGATCTGACCACTAGTTAACTCCAGCCCCGGTCCCACCCTCAGGAATGAGAATTACAGGAAAGAATGACACTGGTCCTTAAAAACACCTAGAAATGGCAAACGTTTTCACATGGACTGTCTTTTCCGGGAGTGGGGGAATAGAGAAAAACACGGCCATTTCACACTGTCATTTATCGGTGTCCACCAGCATCTCCTTCCGAGTCGGAGTTATCTGGGCTACGGAGGAAGGACAGATATGTTGACCGCGGCCTCCCCACGCAGGCAGAAACTGAGGGCTGGGAACGGTGAAAAGCCAGCAGTCCAGACTGCGGCTGCTTTCTCTCAAGTCTGCTGTGCCTACGTCACAGCTCTCATTAAGCATCCACTTGACGCCAGGGAGGTGAAACAGCGCAGACCTGGCACCAGAAAGAACAAGTGTGGCACCCACTGCTCCTTTTAAGGACTGGCTGGGGCAGCCTCAGGCCCCGGGGCAGGAGGTGAGGGAGGTGAGCGAGAACGTCAGCACCTCGGAGGCAAGCAGTGGGAGGAGACGAGAGCCTACCTCCATCTTAACAAGCTCTCCAGGGCAAACTGTCAAAAATAATGGACAGCGTAAGCTTTCTCCTTCTTACAAACTCTGGGGACATAGTGTTTCCTCTCCTTCAAGCAGGGCAGCTGGCTCCAATGAAGCAAAGGGGTCAAAAATCACACTGATGACCAGCTAGCAAAACAGAAAGGTTCCCAAGTTACCGAATCAGAGAGAAAGGCTGGGCCGGGGGCCCTCCAACTCCAGTGTGCTTTGGAATCACCTGGAAAGCTGGGTTGGTTTTTCTTGTTTTTGAGTCTTGTTTTTTGTTTTATTTATTTATTTGGTTTTTCACAATAGTGTTTCTCTGTAGCCCAGGCCCTCTTGGAACTCACTCTGAAAATACTCAGGCATCTGCCTGCCTCTGCCTCTAGAGTGCTGGGATTAAAGGTGGGCACCAACACCACCCGGCTGGAAAGCTGGTTTTAGACAAAAGGCCTGCCCCCACTTCCTGAGACAGCCGCTCAGCTGCTCTGGCACGTGGCTTCCAGTGCCACAGCTTTCCCAGTTTCTCAGGGGACGCTGATCTCTTGGTCTGGGGTGTCATCTTTGCTGGCCTCCCCTCCACATTTCCTTCCGTTTCTCCTACCACAGGAATGGATGTGTCTTGGAAATATATTACTTCATGTGTTATGTACCGTCCTTTTCTTCCCAAGGCCTTAGAGCCCTTTCACACCCGCTATCTCATTTGCTCTTAGGATATCCCATTTGGTTGGCAGAAGAGGCCAAGACCTTTTCCAATGCTACTGATGAGCTGTCAGGTTTCTTAACTTCCTGTTCAGGGGTCATTTCTGAGAACACACTGCCTCCCACCAGGGTTCTGGTCATGCCATGAGCTCACTACACCTCACAGATGGGCTCCTATAACTTTATATATATATATATATATATATATATATATATATATATATATAATGTTGTATGCATATGCTTGTTTTGCCTATGTGCATGTCTGTGCACTACATTCGTGACTGGTGCCTTTGGAGACCATAAGAGGGCGGGGGACCCCTGGAAATGGAGCGACAGACAGTTGTGAGCCACCACGTGGGTGCTGGGAATGGACCCTGGGACCTCTGGAAGAGCTGCAAGCCCTCTTAACTGCTGAGCCATCTCTCCAGCCCTGCATCTGTAACTTGACACATCCCAGCAGGCACCGAAGGGACAGGTGGCTTCTAGGACACCGGGGACAATCTTGTCTAATGACCGTGAGCACTGAGGAGCGGAAGAAGGTATATTTAAAAAGAAGTCATTTCTGAGGAATACAGTTGCTTTTTTTTTTTTTTTTTGACAAGTTTGTTTGAGAGTTTTGAAGTTCACTTGGCCTAACTCTGGGCGCTTGATAAATACTAAATTAATGGTAATGGTTTGTGGAAAATATTCCTGAGGATATTAAACAGAATCTTGCTGCCGGAATAAAAGCTAATGAGTGGAATTAGGAAAATGGGGCTGTTTAGGCAATAGAGCATGACGGCCACGGGCAAGAGTGTGTGGTGATTTTCTGGTTCCTTTCTTGTAGCTTAATAAATGCTTTCAGAACTGAGCAGGAAAACAAGCACTAGCTCAGCGAGGGCGCTTATGACTGACCAGGCGATGTGTGTGAGAAGGACCACTGGGGCCTGGGTTGGTTGCGACAATGGACATCCTAATAGCGCTGGGTGTGTGGCAAACGCAGGCTTTGTTTGTTTATGTTTTTGATGAGCTATCGGAGGGAACACAAATCAAAACACAGGCTCTCTGCAG